GAGTCTCGAACCTGAGACAATAAATTGTAGTAATGAGTCCCTGGGAACTCGGATCCGAGAATGACTGCGCTGGCGAGGGCCAAAAACAATTGTAAACGACATGTTACATAAGGACTATAACCGTAATTGTTCCGTTGGAAAATAAAATTACTGGTCGTGAGTCTCAAGGGGCTTTTCACAAAGATGAACTGATTGGCGGTAAACCGCCAGTCGTAAAGTAACTCTGACTCTGACAGTGGGAGCCAGGATAGCGCAGTCGGCAGAGCGACTGACTATGGGTTGGACGACCAAGGGGTCGGATTTCGGGTTCTGGTGGGGGCAAGAAATTTTACTTCTACGTGTCGTCCATGAATACTCATATCCAGTGGGTACCGTGGGCTGTTTCCCCAGTGGTAAAACGGCCGGGAACCTGACCACTCACCAACTAGTGCCGGGGTCAAAAAACGCGTGCCTATATATCCACTCCCCCATACACCTTCATAGCGTAGTGCTTAATTAGTTAAGCACTGAGACAACTTTACATTTTTACCATATTTCGAATGTCAGTATAAAGAAAATGTTTCTTGCTGTGTTATTATTTTTTAACTAAACAATGGGATTATTCACCATTGTAACCATCATATGCAGCTGTGCACAAATAAAATAAAACACGATTATTAGCAATTCGACATCTTTAATGTTAAGCACGAGATATCTCGTTGAAAAACGGTTTATTTTCTAGTGTCTGCAGATAGAAACCTCTGCTGCAGCTCTTACAAGAACCGAATGGCGTAGCATATTTCTTGACCGCGGAAGTTGCCATGGCGACGTACGTAAACGCAACAGGGCGTTGATTGCTTTCCTATAGAACTTCAGCACATAAATGATTAACTGCTGACTTTCTGACACCTCAGTCGCTTCGAAATAGCCGTATCCGTCCCGGGAATAAAACATCTGTCCATGCTAGACCACATACACTACGTGTGTACAGTGGAAATAACAGTTTAATTTCATATGTGCATATGTGTGTAGCGTGAGGTCTGCATCACAGGCGACTTCTAATTTACAATTTAACGAAAAGGGAATTTCGAGGCCTTCAGTTTTTCGTTTCTCTTATTCACTGCGTATGAGATCGTAACAAATTGATGTGCGAGACAGTGGGAGGCCCTGGTTTCATTTCCGTTTCCGGTTACGCCGTTAAATAGTTTTATTGTTGTTAAAGTGGGACGACACGTCTGTGGGTAGCAGTAAGATTGCGAGAAAGTGACTCTGCTGTTTTCCTTTGAACTCTACTTCTGCATTGTCAAGTTCGTAAATATGAAAATTCTGCAGTACAGGCTTACCGAGCAGGTTGCTATAGCGGTAACACTCTGAGAATTGTATTATGGAAGCACACCGTTCGAATCTCGGTCAAGACATCGAGTATTCTTACTGAAGTTTTTTCCGGTTATCCTTAGTCAGTCAACGCAAACTCTGGGATAGTACCTAGAACTCAGCTTGCTGCCTGCTTCATGCTAGTTTCTTCTTTACTTACCCTCCGACCCTGAAGATGGAGGCAGTATGTTCTCCGAAACGTTTGTTGACTTTCACTGGGCTATGCAGCGTTATAACCCAAAAGACAGAGCTCGTCCTAGCGATCGCTGTGAGAACGTAAAATCATACCATGGTGTATAGACCTGTTGCGAAGCAGTGACTCGGTAAACAGCGGTCATTGCTAGGTAACGGTGGAAACATACACGCACGCGACAATAGAAGTTGGTCCGCTCCGCGACATTTGCTATGCAACGGCGCGGTAAACACACCTTTACAACAATAAAGGGGCTGTGTTTCTCCGTGGCCCATGCCGGAGAGTTATCTTGAAAATGATTGGCGCTAGAGTTACAGTTGTGGGATAGCCGGACAGTAACAGCGTGAGTACAGAAGCTGAAGAATCTCCATTACTAATAGCTGTTACCAAGCAACGACTAGGGAAGACTATAAAAAGCTAGAGAAGACATAGCGTGTTATGATTTGTAAAATGTGGGAATCAGCGATAGCGTTACAGTTATGTGTAGTTACGACCTGTACGAGGCCAGGAAATCCAACTATCCAAAACCACGTCTAGTCACACATACTACGTGACAATACTGTACTAACCAGGCCGATATTTTTGCTTCCAATTAAGGATATAGATCTAATTCTTGGAAGCCTGGACTTCATCTAAATATTACGTAGGTACGTCAATAATTATCCGGTAGCTATAAATTTTATTTCAATACAAATAGAAAATTTACATTAACATCATTTTTCAACACAGTCCCCTTGCTTTTGAACGCACTTTGTCCATCGTTGCACAAGCTTCCTGATGCCATCAGAAAAGAAGGTTTTCGGCTGAGCAGCGAGCCACGCAAGCACCGCTTCATTCAGTTCTTGGTCCGAGGTGAATCGACGGCCCTTTAATGCCTCTTTGAGTGGACCAAACAAGTTGTAGCCAGAAGGGGCGAGATCAGGACTATACGGAGGATGAGCCATTACATCAAACTTGAGTATCCGGAGGGTTTCAGCAGTGTGAGCAGCAGTATGTGGACGGGCATTGTCGTGCAACAACACAAAACCTTTCAACAGTAGTCCTCGGCGTTTGCTTCGAACTGCAGGCTTTAGCCTGTCAGTAAGCATCTCACTGTAACAAGCACTGTTTATTGTTGTGCCCCTCTCCTGATAATGTTCCAGTACTGGGCCTTGTGAGTCCCAGAAAACTGTAAGCATCAGTTTTCCTGCGGATGGTTGGCTTTTGAACTTTTTTTCACTGGGCGATTGTCCAGTTTTTTGCTGACAGGAAGTGCGTTGCGCCAGGGCCAGTAAATGAACGCTGAGCCCAAAATGTCCAGTTTTTGGTGTTAAAGCACGTGGTACGCATGCTAACCACTATGGCGTCTAAGAAAATGACAGTCATTTGGCCATCACGGTTCTATTATACTATAAGCTGAAACACGCGACATACCTGTAGATGAGTCTAGCGAAAACCCCCATAGGAGCGCCAGCAGGGTGACATGCAGAGATTATACAAGGATCTGCCATGACAGGTGTTCACTCGGCTGATGATATTGCTTTTTTTTTTCACTTTACGATCCTCCAGTTTTATCAGTTCGCGTTCTTTACACAATGTGATTACATATAGGGCACGTCGTGTCCTTTAGATGTGCCCGCTTGGTACATCTCCGTAACCTCGGAACAAGTTTCGACTGCTTCTGGTAATACGATTCTTACCCAAATTTTGGCACTAGATGGAGGTGTCTGGTCAGATTCACCCCCCGTCTGCTTTATCCACGTGTAAAGATCCGCCGGTACACATTGGATAGGAGGCTAGGTGATCTCAAGAGTCGGTCTGGTCGCTGTGGCGTTGAGAAAAATCTCTTTCCTCTTCCGGGAATCGAACCCCGGCTATCCAGCCTGTAGCCCATCGCTATACCGACTGAGCTTTGTGGCACGAATGTAAATTTATTTTTGTATATGATCAGCAGGGCCCGGATTTTAATGACATGTCATCTTTTTTTCCTTGTATCCTATGCGATGCTCTTAAATATATAAATCTCGGATATGAGCTGCTGGTTACAGAAATGTAAACTTTATAGGTAATTTTTTGGTAAATTTTTGGACTTGAGGGTATTTCTTGTCATTTTTGGCCATTTTAGGGAATTTTTCTTCATATGTTTTCCGAAATGTGAATAACATGGAAGCGAAGTGTTCTCTCTTTTCTCCTTTAGGTCATTTTTCTCGATTTTTTCCGTCATTTTATAGGTCATTTTTTTAATATTTTCAGGTCATCAAAATCCGGGCCCTGCATATTACATTTTTGGGTCATATTTTAGGTCATTTTTTATTTTTTCGGTCATTTTATAGGTCATTTTTTAAATATTCTCAGGTCATAAAAATCCGGGCCCTGATGGTCAGTATATCCCATGGTTTTCATGAAGCACGAAGTCCAGTTTATCGCCTTTCTCAAGAACTCTTCATTCAAAACAATTGGTACATGACCTTAAAGTTTCATTTTAACTTTTTTCCTTCATATGGCAAACACGTTTTAACTCTTCGCTACACTGTGTAGTGCTGTTAGTTTAGCAGCAGCAGAGCATACGAATTTGTATCTGCAAGGAATGACTGTCCAGTTGCAGCGAGGTAACTTTTTTTTAAATAAAGTATTTTCGAAATACGTGCACTCCTTTCCTCTTTCATTCACACCAAATATGGGTGTCGTGAATAATTTGTCGGAATTTGATTCCAAGCAGGATAATTGATTTTTTTTTTCTATTATCATCTTGTTCCATAATGCAGGATAGACTTGTGGGAGCCACCCACATTGAATCAAGCACGGACCACGGCGGCTCCGCCGCCCATTGGTTCGTGCGTCGTTAGCGACATTGTATAAAGATGCGGACCTCCGACACGCTAGTCGTCAATCGCAGTCTCGAAACCATCCACTGCTACCAACGGC